ATTTATTTATTTATTTATTTATTTATATTTCAAATTTAGATACCACCCATCTCACAAAAAAATGACTCTGGGTGGTCCCTACAGAAACAAGCATGATTCCCAGAATTGACTTTAATCAGATTTATTAAAAAGGAAAAGGAAATTATGTTACAAAAATGTTGGCAATTAGATATGTTTACTTTATTTTTCAATGTATTTCTAAGTTTGTTAGTGTAGAGATTTCTTGGTCCTCTTGCTAACCACCCACTGATGCACTGGGGAGGTGGCTATCTGTTTTTCTGATAAAGGAAGAATGTGCAGATGTTCTGCACTTGTAATATTGTAATAGTCAAACTGAGTGGTACTGTATTTAACATTAGCAGGAAAAACTGTAGGTGGCATGAGATTATTAAAGCTGGTAAGTTAGTTTAGATCTTCTTTGTCTTATTAAAAGTGTTATGTGAAAGGCTTGATTGACTAAAGTCCTGATGTGTGAGACACTGTAAGAAGAAAGCATTTCAAACAGACTCCACCTTATTTAACTCACTATAACTCTGTCTGGGAATTTTACAGTTCTAAAGATTGTTTTCAAACTAAACAATCATTAAAAATACCTTCCTAAAATCCATGTTTTACTTGCTTCCTGGCTTTTCCAACAAGGGCTTGACATGATGGCTGATGGAGATCAGTTTCTAAGGGTGACAAGCATATAAGATTGCTATTTAGAATATAAAATGGTTGCAAAGAATGTAGTCAAACAGCAAGGAATTGTTAAGATCAAAAGAGGAAAAAAATGCAGAGCAATTTTGACAGTGTGGCTGAAAAGGGACAAACAACAGGCCTCCAGCAGAGTGAATGGAATTAAAAATAAAAGTAATGAAATGATTTAGGATAAAATTGAAGACAAGGAATGCTGGAAGTTGAATGTAGTGGGAATAAATTATTTAAGAAGTGTGTGCGGTGAAACAAAAAGAGATAACAGTCAAGAATGAATTGGTGCACAATTAATATGGACTGAACATGAAAGTGAATGAGAGTATGACAACGTTTGGGACATTTAGTCACATGGAGAGAATGAATGAGGATTAAGCTGCAAAATTAATACATGAAGAGTGAAAGAGAGGAGAAGAAGGGAAATGTTCTTGTTGGATGCATGTAAGGAGATCAAAAAGAAAGATGTGAAAAGTTTAAAGAGCAGAAGCTATGTACGATGCAAGGTATGGACATGTTAGAAGCTAGGCAAAAGGTATAGAGAGTTACAGTAAATGGTGTTAGTATTAATTAGTTTTAGCTATATGTCCTATTTTTTATCTTAACTTATGCTTTTTATTTATTTTTTACTTTTCTTATACAGTTTTTGTACTCTGTATAACATTGGCTACCCTGAAAAGAATAGTATGCTAGTTTGGTATGTACACTTTCCTTCCTTATCTGGATGTCACAAATTTGCACAAAATGCAGCTGTGGAAATTATGCAAGTATGCAAATTTTAACAAAATCTGTTAAGGTCTGAACAATTTGCACAGTTCACAGAACAGCAGAGTTAGGCTCTGGTTACAGAATTTGTGATTTTTAAAGCAGAACTTCAAGAGCCTTTATCAAACTGTATTATTATTAGAATGTATCTACCCTTTTAGTGCATATGTATATAAATTTGCATGCAATAAATTAGCTACAGATATTGTGGTCGAGACAAGATGAAATGCAAAGAAGAGAAAAGTGGCTCCAAATGAAATTAAGTGATATGCCTACTGATTCTTCCTGCATTTCCAAGGTTTGAAGGCAGGGAATATTTCTCAGAACTCTTAACATTTCTGTAGCAATAAGAGGGACTATATTTTGGAGCCATATGCCACTGAACAAAATACATTTTAGTATTTGCAAGGTAGCATTACAAATTCCAACTCCAAGTTAGCAGTGTCTAATATTCTAGCGGAGGAAAGTATTCCTTTAAAGGCAAAAAAACCTAGCTTGGTATGCATTCCATTTTTAAGAGAGGAGAGTGAAGGCCAAAGCTAAAAGAAAATCAGAATTAGATGGAACATTATCTCTGCAGTAGTTGCACTTTGGTGGGCTACTTGCCTAAAGCGAAGTAAAGCTGGCAGGGGATATTTCCAGGAGCCTCAGGTAGCAACAAGGGAAAACTGAAAACTCTGAAAAAACCCTGGGGGGGGGGAAAAAAAGTAAAAGGGGCTATATATTTGCATTCTTCCAGGTATGTGCATATTTGTGAAAGAGAAAAAAAAAAACCTGATCAGAGTCACAGCACTTGTGGAAACAGATTCCAACCTTCTTTACTTGCTGTTTGTCTGATGTCTGTC